GGTTCAAATTTTAAATGTTTTAAACTTGGTTAAATGTTTAACCAATACACGTTTATTGAACTTGGATAATAATGGTAAAGGATGGTAGATTATTTAATTTACACACCGATTATGCACCGTGTAGTTAAATCAATAACCCAAGAACACAATTTGAACAATATCATTCTTATTTTAACCATATAACGTTAAAAGAACTATACGGTCAATAACACCGACCTTAAACCTGCATAATGTTACCCGGGTTGTAATATTACCATGTATTAAGACTATAAGGGTAAAAAACAATTATTCTATATTAAACTTATATTAAATAGTAGCCCTATATATTCTGTAAAATACTTCTGTAAGAAGTATATTTCAATTGTGTATTACATTATATAATTTTAAATTATTCTATAAACTATAACTAAGTATAAACACCAATGATTGGTATGATTTTTGGACTCGAAATTATAAATAAGTTAGCGGCTATTTGCTAAATGTTAGCAGCATATTTCAATTCGTAGCTCAAAAGGGGATGTAGCGCGAAGTTGCCCCCATCTTATATTTTTCATATCTTGTAGGTAATTTACTTGCAAATTCTGAAAACCAATTTTCAAATACTTGCAAATTATTTGCAAAATGATAACATAACTTTCAAAAACATTGGTCATGGTGGGGGGCCAACTTCACGCACATGGGAGGCCATACTACAGCATAGGTCTTCCATGGTTGAGACGACAACAATAAAATTATTCGCTGCCCGGATTTGTTCTTACCTTCCCTGCGTTATTTGTATAACGCCTAAACGTACGGGATACCTACTCAGAAGATTCCATGTGCATCAATTTGAGCATTTGAGCCATTTGTATTCAGCAATGAATACTGCATTAAACATTGTTTAACCGATGAAATCCGTAGGAACTGGCATTATTATTGCTTATAGTTAACAAAATAGATGTAAATAGCATGCTGTTGAATGCAAATACATAGCAATTTCTGTTGTTGTGAAAAATTAAAATATTTATATTGCATAGGTACACTATGGATTATGCATAATAATATTATATGGTCCTGCATAAAATAAATAGTTCATTTATTTAACATATATTTATGTGTAACCATACAATTAAGATATAGGTACATGAATATATTAGCAATATACAATTTAAAGTTACTCATTCAATTTAGAGTGTATTAATTATGAAATACAATATTATACCATAACATTGAGCATTACTGGCCAGGTTAAAATATTGTCTTTTATTTATTATTATGTATTTTTGAGTAAATATATTTAAATCTAACCACAGATTTGTGTTTAACCTGTTATGTGTATATTATAATGGGCAGTTTATGTGAAAACAAATAGCAGTGTACATCATTGACATTTGTTTGATCTATTTAATAATCTATTCATTTGGCCGTCGATGAACTTTTCTGTAACTATATCACATTTCATAGTTGTAGAATTATTTATACTGTATGAAACCCAGAAAAATTATGCTGATTTAAAATGTATGATATCTCTATTTTCTTTATTTATTAACATATTTATTTAACATTTCCTGTCATGTTTTTTATGGTTTCATGCGTACCTATACCCATGAAATTGCATATAACTTTATAAGGATTAATTATAGAATATATATATTATTCTACTTATGCTTGAAAATTCTATTCAACTAGGTATAGAAATAAATAAAAAATAAAATAAAATTTCCAAAAATTTTATATTTTAATAAGTACAAATTGTATAACAAATGTATAATATAAAAAAAGTGGTATAATAAATAACAATAAATCAAACATATATAACATATAAGGTTCTAAATGTATTAATTTGCAACAAAATAAAATATAAGAGATATAAAAGAGATAATATTAGTTAAGACTAATACAAAATAAAATAAAAATAAAACTAATGTTGATGACATAATGAAATAATAACTCCTTCGTTATTAGCAAATTGAACAAAAAAACACTTAAATTTAATATTGATTACAGTTATTTCATAAGGATCAGATACATCATAAGTATTAACAAAAAAAACACCTATAAGTTTACTTGGCACTGGTAATTTAAACAAATCACTTATACTTAATAATTTTACAACTGATAATTTGATCACATTATCTATATTAATTTTATAAATTTGCTTAATCGTCACTATATCATCATTTTCTAGTATACAAAATTGATTTTTAATATTTTTACAGCAAAGAACATAGTTGTTAGAATTAAGAATAATTTGATGGTAAAATGTAAATTTAAAATTTGAAAGATTTTTATCTATTTTAAAAGACTTTAAGATACATTTATTTGTTGTGGTGGTTTTCAATTATTCACATTCAAATGCTATTATTTTATTTTTTATTTCAGAAAGTGGATATCTACAACATTTCATTGACTTTTTTAGAGTTTGAAGATAATTTTCATATTTGAAAGCACTAAATTTGTCCAATGAACCATATAAACTAACAAAAAAAGAAAGATGAATAATTTTGAACAAATTCTCTTAACAATTTTGAGGCCAAATCATTATGTTTATTACAAAATTCACTTGAACACTGAATTCTAATAGATACAAATAGGAGAAGAAAATGATTATATTTTTCTTTTGATAAATTTGATTTTAAGACAATAACTCCTGTGTACAACAAAAATTCACGGAATTCAGTAGCTTTCCAAAACTCTATATCATCTAGTGATCTTGGCAAACGAGTAAACTCTGACGGTACCAATTTTCTCAAATTAAAGAGGGCTAAAGAAATGGAATTTTGTTTTTCTTCCAAAATTCTTACTGGCTTTTCCCCTTTAATCCAAAATTCCATTGACCACCGTCTCACCTGGAAACCTCACATAATAAGCAAAACCCTTACACTTAACGACCGCTTCCGACTCCTTCGTCCACTTCTAACATCAAAGCATTTGAAACTCTCCAATAAGCTCCTGCTTTACAAACTCTTACTAAGACCCATCTGGACCTATGGGATTCAACTATGGGGCGCTGCCAAAATTTCCAACATCAACCGCATTCAAAGATTCCAATCCAAAACTCTATGTACCATTCTAAAAGCACCCTTCCATAACTCTAACCACACCCTTCACTCTGACCTAAAAATTCTATTTGTCTCCGAACTAGCCAAAACTCACTACAAACGTTTCAATAGCCTCCTAGCCCATCATAAGAATCCGTTAATCTCCAATCTTTCATCTGCTTCTATCCCAGGTAGTCCAGTTAAAAGACTTAAAAGACAGTGGTGTCGTGACCTGCTAGCCTAATTTAGTCCTACTCATGTCGTAGTACCTCTGCTGGGAGGCCTCTACACTCAGTCTAATCTGTCGTTATTTATTTTATTTTTATTTAATTCATCAATTGTTCTTATTGTTCTATTTTATTGTAACAGATTGAATAAAAATCCTTTAATAACAAAAAAAAAAAATTCCAACAATCTTTTCATCACACCTTGACATACACAATGCATGTAATCTAAAACTACACATTTTATTATATCGATTGGAAGATCTACTAACGGACTAAATCCATACTTATGGTACTCAGAGTTTGATTTTAATCTAAATTACTCAGAGTTTGATTTTAATCTAAATGAATCATTTGTTCTTAATGGTGCAGAAAAATCTAAGAAGCAAACTTTATTATCAATATAATCTCCTTCAACTTCACAAGATGTACAACTAAAATAGCCATTAAAATTTTTTACATTTAATAAAAAAGCCTTAGCTGGTGCGTCAGCTACAATATGAGCTACTTCAAAATTTATTTGTTTATCATTAATTTTAATACCAGAAGTTAACAGAATATTTAGCTCATTTATAAATGGGCGTAAGTACTCCTTTACATCACCAGGTTTGCCTTTAAAGCTGTGATAAATAGCAACTGGAAATATTTTATTTAAAAAAATTGGTATATTAATGAATGATAAAAGAATGAGCCAAAACTGTTTTAGAGCTTTTAGCTAAAGGTAGACCATCAATACTAAAACTCAATTTTATTGTGATATTATTAGGAATGCTATTTATTTCTTTGGCTAAATAAGGTTGTACAATATTGTAAATACCTAAATTGAGATAGGATCCATTTTCTATTTCTAAAATAGGTCTAATAATCTTATATTTATGCAGAATTGTTCGAACATCTTTAGGAACTTGTATACCTGTACTTCTCAAAATGTTCAGCATTTCATTAGCACACGCATGAGATACGTTGAACTGCACTGCCCATTTTTCGAAGATGTTCTACTAGATCTTTATTTTTATCTTTAATCAGACTAGTTGTACAGTCTTCAATGAGCTAAAAAATTCTAAAAAATTAAAGTTACCTAGTAAACTTTATAATTTTTAAAAATTATTAGGTAAAAATAGATTTAAATATATCTAATTCTTACAATGAAATTTTGAATTTGATTAGTCTGCACATTATTAGTTAAAATATCTATAGTATTAGTATTGCATGATTCAATACAATTTGTGGAATTAATTTCTTTATCGGAAAACACTTTTAATAGTGTTAGAATTTGTTACCTAAAAACATATATTTATGTATTATATGTATAATATACAAAGCAAATTTTTATTTTAAAACATACTTGTGATGAAGACTGAATATTGGAATGTTTAGTTATTGCTGGATTATTATGTAGTAATTGTAATATTTTATTTTCAATGCGCCTCTGAAACTGACGTTGAGATATTGTTCCGATATCTTTAATGCGTTTGCGAACTGTTAACAACACTAAAATCAGTATACATTTTTTTTAAATACCTAACTTAAAAGATTACTCATAATATTTGTTATTTAATTATACATATATTTATCATATAGGTATTTGGTATGTATTCACAAAATATATTAAACTAATTTTTAACAGTAGGAATGCTATTACATTTACTTTTTCCTGTCATATCGAGTTTTGGCAATTCTAAACCAACTTTGTACTTCTAGTTCAAATGTAGAATCAGAATATTGATATTTATTTTTAATTATACCTAAGAAATATAGTTTTAAAATTACTTTTATAAGAACCGCTTGACGTATAAAATATATTATTATATGATATTATACCCTTCATTAAATTAATTATCAGTAAATCTTTGATTTTGAATTTTGTGATATCTTTTTCAAAAGCCCTTCCAGTCCAAGAACAGTCGATAGCAAATTTGTTATTAAATGCTTTGGACAAAATACGTCGAAGATGTGTCTTACCATCATTACCGCCAATTGAACAAAACATATTTTCCTGTTAACATAATTTGTTCAGAACTATCTCAATAAACTACAATTTTAAGAATAAAATATTTAAATAGATCATTTCATTAATGTACCAATTTCTTTTTAATATTACAATCAATCTGTAACACTTTTTCACATTCAACAGTAATTTCTTTAGATGACAATGGAAACTGTGATATAAATGACATATCTTCAGTATCATTTGAAAAACCTAATGTTGGTACCATTTGACTGGTAAACTTTTTGACATCATCTTTTAAACTATCAATCTTATTACAAAGTCTCTTATTCATCATACGATTAGCTATCAATTCTTCATAAATTTGTTTGAACAATATATGAATTCCTCCTAACATAAAAATATGTGAATTATTAAGTATTTTTTTTTCAATCTTAATCACTTTAAAAGTTTAATGTAAAGGATAATAATATCGATATATAGACTAATTTAAAAAAGATAATTTTAAATACACTATGTTTGGTCACTTTTATTAAGCATATTCAAATGATCTTACCTTCAGATGAATTCTCAATAGTATTTGGAAAGGGTTGATTTTGAGATGCCATAGATTCTTCATTCTGTGTAGGTACCTATATAATATAAATTAGATTTTGTTTAGTAAATATTATAATAAGGACATTAAAACCCAAATGTATTTACCTGTGATACTGAATTTGAAGATTCACTTGTTTTTGATAAAAATGAATGCATGTAATCTGAATCTTGTATCATAGATGCTATAGAATTTGAATCAAACAATGTTAAAGGTTCCAAATTAGTGTAACTATTTTCTTTGTAGGAAGTGAAGGCTACTGCTGATGACACAGAAGCACTATTGACTGTTGAAGATGTTTGCAATGACTCTTTAGGGAAAGTTCCTAACATTGATGACCCTTGAATATTAGGTATAACAGTGTAACAAAAATCTTTAAATTAAATCAAATGAAATAATAGTTAGGTATGCTATAATACATGAAATAAAAATAAAACATAAATTATAATATTTATACCTTCATTATCACTGTCACTACTGTCAAAGATATTTTTTTTTTTTGAAAGGAACGGATCATTTAAAACATTTTCAGTATCAGTTGATTCCACTTCTACTCGTTTGTACCAGGCCTTATTGAAATTACCTAACATGTATATTATATATTATTGGTAAAAATAAATAAACTATATATTAAAGTAAAGTACCTACATACTAACAATAATATATTATGTTATTGTTATTGTTGAGTATAAAAATGAAAAACAGTTTTAATCAAAATGTAAAATAAATCAGTAAAAAATTCTAATCAATTACAATTATTAATATTATATTAGAATTAAGTATTTATATTGAAGTACGTATTCAATTAAAATTGTTTTATTTTTCATACCATAAGTCTTGTTACCACCAACGACTTTGATTTGATATTGTTGCCAAGATGGATCTGGATCTGTGGCTTCTTTTAAATGAATACTAGTAACTCTGAAGGGTGGCCAGTAACAATACTTTACAGAACTACTAGATACATTATCAATGTCTGTCTCTAAAAGCCAATTAATAGGTATAACACTATAGTCTTTGTTCATAGAAAATATGACGACTACCCATTTCTGTTTTTTTTAAACATCTGCAATGATAAAATTAGATTTTTAAATGTTATTAATTAAGTGCCTAGTATATAAGTTGTCCCACCATTTGTTTATGTTACTAAGATTTTTCTTCTTAAGGCATTTAACTAGTTTTCTACAATGTGCATTTAGGTGATAACTAATAGGTAATTTTCTTTTGGAACACGAACGCAAAAAAAATCAGGGGTTTATTACTATGACTTTTGGAGTTTGGAAAACAACTGCTGTACTGTGATCTTCATACAAATGTTATCTGTGGTTAGACATACATCTAAATTCAAAAGTCTGTTAAAATGAGTGACGACAGTGGGAAATACTAAGGTTTTTGCACAAACGCTAAATACCTACCAACTAAGAAATATTTTATCACCCAAATACAAACAATCCGAAAGCAGTAATATAATAAAATATTGTACAGTGCTTTTAAAAATATAATACAATTTCATTTTAAAACTTACCTTTTTATCAGAAATATTTGACATAACTGCTTACAATAGGTTCTAAAATCTTAACGAAAACACAGCTTTCACCGCATGAGAGTAAGTAATAGAAACAATTAATAAATTAACCAACACAAAATTATAATAACCACGTTATATTAATCATAGAATAACAATAAATGTGCAATGGATTACGTATTACGAGTAAATAATCAATGGTAAATGTTATGATAAAGGCAGCGGAGCGAAATGTCATCAGCACCAACCACAGATGTCTATATTATACTAGATAACGAACTCCGCTTATCTTGTGAAGCCCAAGTTAATATTCTTATCTGTATCCGCCATGTTTTCGGTTGGCAAATATTGTATAATTCGTTAATTCGTATGTTAAGTATTGCTTATTTTAAATAAAAAATAAGTTATTTACTATTTTGTAACAATTAAAATTGTATTTCTACTGATCTACTGAATTTGTTACGAACTATATTATTATTATAATTATAATGCCAGTATCCTGTGTTGCCTTTGGATGTTCAAACAGATTTGAAACAGGGAAATCAATACATTTTTTCCGGTGATAGTATTCGTGCTAATTTATATAGTTTGGTTTATTATTTATAAGCACCTAATTATGAATATATTTTTTATAGATTTCCTATTAAAAATGAGGAATTAACTCAGCTGTGGGTAAATGCTATTAGAAGGAAAAATTTCAATCCAACTCAGTGGAGTCGTATTTGTAGTGTGCATTTCACTGAGAATGATTTTATGATTAGGCCAGATGCTGACCGACCATTATTGAAAATCAATGCTGTACCTTCTGTGTTTCCTTCATTTCCAACATATTATCAAAATAAAAATAAAAAACCAAGAAAGCCACCTACTCTTAGAACTATTACTAATGAAATCCCTATTCCAGCAGGTAGCTATTTTATTAATTTTTTTTCATTGATAATGACTTGAATACCTACAACCATAGAAGGCTTATACTATGCCTATAACTTAATGCAATTCATAGACTGTCTTTGACTATCTTATATAGAAATTATATGTGTATCTAATTCAATTTATTTTATGTTAGATGAGTCTAATGTCGATAACACATGTCTTGAAGTTGATAATGCACCTACATTTACTGATGTAGAAGTACAAACATCAAATACTTATACTACAGAAGTTAAGTTAAAGCGAAGAATTAAATCACTGCGCCAAAAATTAAGACGAAAATCAAATAAAATCAATAATATGGCAGATTTACTAAAAAAATTAAAAAATAAAGGGCATATTGATTTGGAACAACAAAATATTATTTTAAATAATTTTAATGGTAAATTAAATTAAAGTAATAAGGTTAATTTACCCTTTTTGTGATTTAAATTACAAACTATAAATTTTGCAGATTCAGTTATTGATTTATTTAAGAATGAATCTAAAAACAGTAATAAAACTACTGGTCGAAGATACACAAAAGAAATGAAACAATTAGCTTTAACCTTACATTACTACTCTCCTAAAGCCTATAACTTTTGCAGGTAAATACTTTTTTTTTTAAATTATGATAAATTCTAATTGTTTTGTATTTGTAGAACTATTTTAAGTTTACCCCATCCATCAACAATCACTAATTGGACTTCATCAGTCAATGCTGAGCCGGGATTTTTCCAAGAAGTTTTTACATTTATAAAGGAAAACATACCTTCTGAAGATTATGACTGCAATTTAGTATTTGATGCTGTAGCGATTCGTAAAAAAATTATTTATGATTCAAGTCATGACAGATTTTTAGGCTATTGTGATTTTGGTAATATTCAAGTTGAATCGCAAGAAACTGAAGCCACTGAAGCACTTGTATTTATGTTGGTTTGTCTAAACGGTAAATGGAAATTTCCAATTGGGTATTTCCTTCAATGTAAAAGCTCGGCTTCAATACAAGCTGGACTTATAAAAACAGCAATTACCATGGCAAACAGTGTTGGTGTGCGTGTTTGGTCAGTTACATGTGATGGAACTTCAGCTAATTTATCAACGATGAAACAACTGGGTTGTAAAATAAAAGGTTCTTATTCTGAAATAGTGGAGTATTTTTTTGTTCCTGATATAGATCGGAAGGTATTTTACTTTTATTGTATGTGATAATAAAAGTATAAAATATTACAATATTTATATTTACTTTTTAGATATGCTATGTACCGGACGCATGTCATAACTTAAAACTGGCTCGAAATACTTTAGCAACTTATAGAAAACTTAAAAGTGATGATGGTGTAATAAATTGGGAATACATACAAAAGTTAAAAAATGGTTTGTTCATTGTTTTGCAATTGTATAATTATAATTGTTATATGAGAACATGTATTTGCACACACAATGTATTTTTATACTTCACTGTTTTAATTTATTTTCCCAAATTATTTTGCTTGCTTGTTTAGCTCAAGAAAATATTGGTTTAAATTTAGCTAATAAATTGACAGCTACACACATGGAATGGAAAAAAAATATTATGAAAGTCAAGCTAGCTGCTCAAACTTTAAGCTCATCTGTTGCTGATGCACTTGAATTTTTTCAAAGTTCTAATGATATCGCTTTTAACAATTGTAATTCTTGAAAATTGCTGCTCTCAACTTTTAAATTAGTAATTCCTTGTAGGGCATATTTTTTTGGCTATAAAAAAATTTTATTATAGATTATTCTTTTTGTATTCTAGTCTAAATCTTTACTAATGCTTATGCCTTGCTTGCTTACTTGAAATTAATTTTTGCATTCACACTTTACTTTTATTAATGAATTATAATTTATAATCTATAATCTAATTGATTTATGATGCCAATTTTTTCAGATTATAAAATAAATGATTGAATGCAATGTTTTATAACTACCTAAATAAGTTCAAACAACAATGTTTACTAGATTCTATTTTTAGGTGCAGAAACAGTCAAATTTATCAGAACTATTGATAGGATATTTGATTTTCTGAACACCCGTAATCCATATGGTAAAGGATACAAAAAACCACTCTATAGAAGTGATATTGAAAATATGAAAAAAACTATCATACCGTTAGTTGATTATTTATTAAGTTTAACCAATATAAATGGTACATTAATTTGTGATACTCCTCGAAGAACTTTTGTAATTGGTAATTTACAACAGACGATTATAAGTATACTTTTTACATGCCCATATTTAATAGTTCAAAAATATTTTAGGTTTTGCTGTAGCTGTAAAATCAGTTTTTTCTATTGCTGAAGAACTTCTAAATAATTTTGATTACAAGTATTTTTTAACATATAAACTTTCCCAAGACCATATAGAAATACTGTTTTCAAAAATTCGACAAAGATTTGGTCATAACAATAATCCTAATGTATTAGAATTCAGAACAGCAATGAAACAAATATTATTGAAAAACTCTGTCACTTCTTCATATGCAGCCAACTGCATAGCTTTTGATAAATCCAGCAATGAAAGTGTTTTTGAAATACGTTGGGCAAAAAGAAATTCTGGAGACACTTGTTATTTACATGATGAAAGTATCTTAGAGGAAACGGAAAAAGAAGAAGAAATACCAGATATATTCATGAACGAAGCTGATGGCTTTAGAATGGTAAAAGATAATATTTTATACTATATCTGTGGTTTCATTGTGAGAAGAATTTCAAAAAAAATAGATTGTTTTACTTGTTGTGAGAATTTACTGGAAAAATTTAATGAACATAATTATGCTATTTTAAATGAACATTCTAAATTGGTTGCTATTAAAAATAGAAGTGGGCTGGTAAAAAGTTCATCTTTTGTTGTAAAAGTTGTGAAATTTGTTGAAAAAACACTTATAGATTTAACTTTTAATTTTAAATCAATTAAAATGTTGAATTCTAGTTTAACGTCAAAGATAATTATTTTTGCAAAAAATTACGTTTATAATTCTAATATTTTAGTTGATGTAAAATGTCCTAATGATGGATTCTTAGAAAACCATAAATTAGAATTAGTTACTATTATTTGTAAAGAATATTTAAAAATTAGATTACACCATGTTGCAAAATCTAAAACATCCGATATTGTGAGTAAACGGCGTTTATTAACAAAGCTAGTATTATTTAACCATCAATAAAAATATTTACCTATGGCATGCATACTTTTAAAATAAAATTATATGATTTTAATTACTACCTATATTATTTTGTTTTTTTTTTGCATTGTACAATGTATATAATATTTATTATAGAGATCTGTGGCCACGAATTAAGATATCTTAATTCGTGTCTGTGGCTAGTAAATAGTTTTTTGCCAACCGAAAACATGGCGGCTGTCTTATCAGTGTGCCTCACTTTTCGTAATATAGAAACCGCCCAGTTCGGTATCTAGTATAATATAGACATCTGTGGCACCAACACAAGACGCGCGCAATCGGATAATATGCTATTATTAAAGATTATTGTTTACAATGTTTACATCAATGTATATTTTTAGAAATATAACCGTCAATTACCCGTAAATATTATTGTCAGATTTATTTGTGTTTTTCTGAAATATTCCCTTAACGTATTGGAAAACATAAAACAATATGTTTTTATAAAACCATTAATGTAGGTTTATAAAGAACGTTTCATTGTAATGTTGACATTAGAACATGAAATGAACATAACTTAAATTTTTGTGGAACACTACAGAAACGTTCAGGTAACATTACATTCTTATGTTTACATTGGAACTCAAAATGTATATTTCAGGAATGTTTGTAACAGTTTCTTGCACGGTGGTATATAAATATAAATATATATTGATTCAGTACAACAAGAACTCTTCTACATTACCTCGGATAAACATAATATAATATGTTAGTAGGAAATGTTTTTTTAGAAGGTGTCCCCCAAATAGAATAATATCTTAATTTGCCTGGATACACTTACTTACGTCAGTTAATGTATCTTGCTGAATAAGTTTGGAGTTGGATGAAATAAGCAGTTCATCGATATGGTACGTCTGCGCTATAGATAAGGCCCTGCTTTATTAACCCGAGGAGTCGACGTATTACCTAAGTAAGTTTTATAACCTACTTATTCATTTGAGGATTTTATATTTTAGTTTCTAGTCTTAAAAATAAAATTTATCGCCATAGACAATTTGCTACCCATGTGACGTAGGCGTATATTAACCTTCTGTACAGTAGAGCAGTGACACACAATTACCCGTTTTTTATTTTGTTAACAATGATACCATGATTGACA